TATCTATTAGGAGATAGACCCTTCATTGTTTACACTGACCATGCGTCATTACGCACGGCAGTGAACAGCCCGCACCTTTCACAACGAATGGCGCGGTGGTTGTCATTCTTTGCGGAATACAACTTTACGGTCGAGTACAAACCAGGACGACTTAATGTCGTCGCTGATGCACTCTCACGTCGTCCCGACTTTGAAAAAGTCGCGAAACCCAACAGTGAGACAGTCACTGTTGCGGTTATGACGTCCTCAGTCCCATCTACAACGTTGTATGATGATGTGAGGCGGGCATACGCCCAAGATGGTGAGATTGTGAAGTTGTTGACACATCTCTCCCAACCATCCCGAGAATCGTTGAAACGATTGTCGCCTGCGTATCGATCTGCATCAGATCGATACACTACTCGTAACGGTTTACTGTATTATACAGCCGTTTCTGGTGACACACCACGTGTTGTCATTCCAGATGATACTGATCTGCGTTTGCGGATCATGTTCGAGTATCACGATGCTCCTATAGGAGGACATCGTGGCCGAGAGAAAACATATCTCACGGTAAGTCGAGACTTTTACTGGCCCCGCCAGTATCAGTTTGTGCGAAAGTATGTTCGCGCATGCGAAGTCTGTCAACGAGTGAAGTCAAGTCCTTCACTGCGTGCACCTTTACAGCCTCTACCGGTTCCGGCTGAGTGCTGGGAATCCATCTCAATGGATTTCGTCTTCGGGTTACCCAAAGACGCACGCGGGAATACGGGTATTCTCGTATTTGTTGACAGATTCAGCAAAATGGTACACCTTGTGGCTGTACCAGAGACAATCACGGCAAGTGGCTGTGCTTGTGTCTTTATTGACACCATCTTCCGACTTCATGGGTTGCCCCGTGAACTCGTATTAGACAGAGATCCACGATTCACTGCTGATTTCTGGCGTTCCGTGTTCAAATCACTCGGAACGCGCTTGAAGATGTCAACATCTGATCATCCAGAGTCAGATGGTCAGACGGAACGTGCCAATCGTGTCCTTGAAGAGATACTTCGAGGATACGTACACTCCTTTAAGAGTTGGAGTGAGTTTTTGCCAATGGTAGAGTTTGCCATCAACGAATCGGTGCATGCGTCCACGACACATACACCGTTTTACGTGAATGGCTTGCGCCATCCGCGTGTACCCACCTTACTAGAGTGTAACTCTGGTTTAAGGGGGGAGGGACTCGCGCGAGCAAAAACCGAATTGGTTCACGCTCATCACGCTCTGACGAAGAAGTCATTGCGTTTGATGCCGATATCGATAACATCGATATCGAAGAAGAATATGATGCCAGTGAGAGTGCGGAAGCCCTCACTGAAGAAGATGATCCCAGTGAGAGTGCGGAAGCCCTCACTGAAGAAAAGGTTGATGTTGCTGCAGTGCGCTCACAGCACACTGAAGCTAACGAGCCAGCAGATGAGTTCATACTGGCTCGTGAAACGGTAGTCCGTTTTGTGCAAGATTCCATCGCCGAAGCGGTGGATAAGCAAAAGCAAAACGCTGACAAGAATGGAAGGACAAACACTCTTTTATTCAATAAGGGTGACTTAGTCCTACTGTCTACGGTTAATCTACTAAAGCATGTAGTGACTAACTTGGGTAGCAGTAAACTACTACCCAAGTACATTGGCCCATTTCGTGTATTGCACCGCCTAGGCAATGCATACACGATCGAGTTACCACGTAAGATGCGAACGCATCCCACGTTTTACGTTGGTCGGCTTAAGCCGTACCATCAGTACGCTGCTTCTTCCGATGAAGAACGCCCTTGCGCTCAAGCATCTCGCAGAGAGCCTTGTGCTCCCGATGGTGGGCATCAACAAGGGTCTGAAGAGCAGCTATCTCATCCCGAGACCGATCAACAATCCCACGAGCTACCCTTAGCTCGTCACGAAGAGATGTCAGAGCTCTCTCGTTCTCAAGCTGAGCAAAGGCAAACTCAGCTCGATGCTTCGAGGCAGTGTCCACCATCTGGAGACGCCTATTCCGCTCATGCTCGAGATCGTCGCGTAACCCTTGCGTTACGCGATCAAAGAAGCTCTCGGGAACACACCGATCCACATGATCGTGTGGAGAGCGTCTTTCCTCCTCCTCCACCTCCATTAGAGGACTCTCGCGGTGGCCAGCGCTATCTAGTTGAGCAGCTGTTGAACCACCGCGACGTGAACGGACGTCGGACGAGTTATCTCGTCCGATGGCGCGGCTATCCCCCGTCCTGGGATACTTGGGAGCCCCGCTCCCAACTGATGGTTGACGTACTGGGTCTGGTTGAGCAGTACGACGCGGCACATCCTGTGCCGCAGAAGGACCGCCGGAGAAAGTCTTCCCGGCACGGTCGTAAAGGGATTTCAGGTTGTCAATCCCTTCATACATCTCAGTAGAGATACGTACGCGCCACCACGGGCTAGTAAGGAGGTAAGCCTCCTTAGGTGCTCGTGCAGAGTTGTTCACACAACATGGGCACGAGTCCCCCCAAGAGAGGCAGGGTAATCCTTTCTCCCTTGACAGACGATGCAGCTTATAGCGTGCACCTGTTGGGGTTCGCTTTTCAAACTTATCACGAGCTTTGATAAGTTTGTCGTTCCAAGCGTCACGTCCTACATCCTCGAGGTTATGGATGTAGGCGTTCCACGCTTGAAGCAGTGAGGGACCATCACGTTTGTGATTCCCACTGTACCATCGATGTTTGAAGAAAGCATCGATGAAGAATTCATGTTCAGCGCGATAGTCTTTCGCGCTGGGGTCAAGGTGATGGATCCTTGACGAATCGAACAACCGTGTTCGATAATGATCACTCGTCGTCGCCGACAAGTGATCCATGACTGACTTTGGAGGCAGCCATGCCTTCTTTTCAGGAGCGAGACGCAACACATTGCGGTCCCGCTCTTCCTGCGACGTGCCGACAGAAGTACTGGCACCTCGCTGTGAAGTGGTGTCAATAGGAGAACCGACACCACTATTAGCGCCCGAGTCTCGCGACCTCGAGCGCCTTCGCTTCGGCGATGGTTCATCTGATTCATCAGATGAACCAAAGATGCTACGACGCATAGCATCATCCATGCCACACTTGGCAGGCGGCTTAGATTCGATCGACGTCGATACGGATCCGTCTTCCGTATCAGGAGAGTATGAGACACCGAGCTCATAGTCTGTGAAGACATGAGTGTCTTCATGACCAGCGCCTGTATCACCAAGTGACACAGGCTGAGTCGCTTCAGCAACCGATGAGACATCAGTTGCTGTGGTTTCTGCTTTGGCGTCCGCACAGAGACGTGCGGACGCGCTCTCGGCGGCCTTGCTCGCGCATCGCATGGGCTTGTTAACCATGCGATGAAATGTTGGAGAGTGGACTCGAACCAACAAGTGCAAACCCTGTCCCAAATGATTTGGGACGAGTATCCATTTAGTCAATCAGTCACTAAAGTGACTGATGGTTAGGGGGGGGGTGATGTAACGGGGTGAATCGTTACATAACAATTTATAAGAAATTGTTAATAAAATAGAACTATAAGAGTTATATTCTCAGAATATTGTCATAAGGACAAATATTCTGTTGCACTTACAAGTAGTTCCTAATTGGTTGATATAGGCCATTATATCAACCAACGAAGACGCGCCACGACAGACGCACGCAATGAGTGGTGAGCAGATAACTGATTTACACATTTGTATTTAGACATAGTTAGATGAAGATAAATAGTGATTTATTGCAGACATTAACTATTATAAATACAGTTCTACTTTTTACTTTAACCAAGTACTCGCTTCTTCTTACCGTCTTCCTCTGCACGTACGAGTGTACGTGAAGTTACGAGGCACCGCCTTATTCTGTCATCAGAATAAGTAGCTTGTACTGTCACCAGTACAAGCTTCAGGGTGCCCCGTTACATAAAAGCTTCGAGTTCACAAAGTTTCACAAAAAAGCTTGACCTAATCTTACGCTTAACACACATGAGAACGATTGCGATTTGTACTGGATTAAGTCCGGTAGATGTTTAGAACCGGCTTTTGGGATAGAACACCATCATGTCATGTCTATAGATTAGCCAATCATGTAGCGTCAAAGCCCATCAAAATTCAGATTACATCAATGTTTAAGATGAATGAGCGGCGACTTTTCGATTCACCTGGTAATGAACCTCTGGGAGTAATTCAAATGTATAGCTCTTTTTCATGGCCTGATGCTGAGTCTCATTCAGATAACGATTTGAAGAAACCTGCAATAGCCGTAATTGCTTTTTATAGAAAAAATTGTTTTTACAGACAGCACCAAACCCGGTCGGTAGTTTTAAGGGGATTTTGCCAGAAAACTAAGGGGAAATAACGGCTCTCGAAATGAAAAATGATTATGCATCTATCTAGGTCCTTTTTAGCTCGTGTTGTTGTGCAGCGGAGCTACTTAGCGCTCCTTTACAGATGAAGTATTAGACTCAAAGAGTCTCTTAGTTTTAACAGCTGACAATGACGTACAGTTGTTCAACCGTACAAGCTTAGCAACCCCGGTTCCAAAAGAATTGCGATTCACAGAATCACACACTAACTAGAGGCTACTAGTTAAACAAGAGCAAGAGCCTTCACAAGTCTAACACTCTTACAACACACTATGCCTAGACTAGGCACAAGTGCCCAACGATTCAAAAGAAAGACTGAATTTTATGTGTTCTTTAACTACGGTGATAAAAACTAAAGCCTTGTCTGACTGACTTCTACATTGCGATCCTATGACAGAAGTCTTATCCCTTACCCGATAAGGTGCGGTATTACCGGAAGTACGTGGTACCAAGACTGTACCACTCAGATCCATCGATCTTTATTTGGTGTGGACACACACATAATCGGTTCAATAATTGCATGTGACCCCTTTACACCCTCCCCTAACAAACTGTCGATACCCTTGTGTCGTCAATTCTTCTACTTCGCTTTGAGGTCTATCAAAGCTCTGGTCCGTGACCATCGTGTTCACAACACATCTCAAAATGACTGAGTCAAAGCCTCCGTCCAACACCCTGGAAGAATTCTACGACGAGGGTATGGTGGACTATGAGAGTGACACTGCTGCGTCGAGCATCTACGACAATCCTTCAGTTACGCCACCGCCACGTGACACCACGCGCGTCGCGCCTAGCTAAAAAATCGATTCGTGGACCGCGAGGAGGTACCTTCACCCCTTGCAAAGCGTGCAGCCGTCGACCCTGCGTTGGGTGTGTTGCACGACAAACTTGATGAAGATCAAGCTCAATATCTTCAATTGCTCGATGACCGCAGGCGTCAAGCACAATGTGCAGCTACAGCGCGTACTCACAAAAGTTATCGCTTCACGCCAAGGCCAGACTGTCGGGCAGTCACTCGCAACATGGATCATTGGACCCAAGGATGTCACAGCCGCAGCACTAGCGGAGAGGGGGGCTCTCAGAGCGAAATAGTTGGGGTCAAGTATATGACCGCTTAAGAATACGTTGACAGGCTTAATCTGCAAGCACAAAGTGCATCAGTGTCCTCCATGCGGACAGTACTCGCCGTACTTTTCCCTGGTGAGACAGAGGGGGAAATGATGTCGTCTTCACGTGTTGGGCTCACCGAGATCGCCTTCTGCCAAGCCAATATAATCTCTAGGCGAGCGCTTCACTTGCTGATATTCGGTATGAACGAAAGTGCGCTTTTATTTCGCAAAACAAAAGACCAAAGGCCAACTGCGATCGGTTTACCGCACCCGCTATGCTGCGGTAGCTACAGAATCGCACATCAGCGCACCTGCTGCAGCTGCAACCCAATCCGCTCCCACACCGACTAGTGGGAAGGGGTATGGATCGTCTGACTCTAAGACGACGTTTAAAAGCTTTAACGGCATTAGGACAATCCTGCCGCAGTTGCACTTCGTACTCCTATGAGTTCTCCGACTCCGGGTACCCTCGCCACTGTACCAAGTACTGGTACTGACCGTCACGGCGACGTCGCTGCACAATTCGTTCAAAATGGTACTGTGGTGGAGTGGGGTTCGCTCATTTTTTGAGGCGATCCCGACTCTCCACTGGCGCCCAGACGACCGACTAACGGAGTGGGTACTCCGATTCCGCCTGCACTTGTTTCCTCCTCACCTGGTGTACCCATCGGCAGGGCGTGTTGCACTCGTCTAGGTGGACTCGACAAGATGCTAAACTTGACCGTTGTAGAGATTGGTGCTGATCGGATAGAAAATCCTCACCCGATCGCATGTTCTGGGTTGGCGCTCTCCTCGAGTTGCCGTAATCTGCCCTGAGCACCTTGTGCCAAAATGTGTACGTGAGTCGCGAGCCTTTCTGGCCACTTGAGCCGTCTCGCGATCTTGTACTTTAACCGATACGCTTGGCTGCGTCCGATAGCAGTAGGGGTGTGTTGAGAGTCCTAGCACTCCTGGCCAAATAGCTTCAGGAGTGATCGTTCAATCCTTGATGTCGAGATTCTCAGACGTCGGGAGGCCAAAATATCCAACCCGGGAGAATATCGACACGAATGTGTTTAGAAGCAAATTGAACTCTGTTTAATGTTAACCAATGAGACTCTCACACCTTACCCCTCTAACTTAGAAAATCAGATGCCATGCGTCGCCTCTACAGATCGCCCCTTGTACCTACGTGGCACAGACCTGACACACCAACCGTCTGATCGCATCAGGGCATGGTCCACGCCAGATCGCGGTACCTTGATCGCGGCCCCTGATCGCGGTCGCTTGATCGCGGTCCCTTCCGCCGTTCGAAACCGTTCTGACTGGATAAGATACTTCCGTGAATAATCCCAATGGTGCCATCCATGTGATTGGTCCTCGTCCCACGATCGTTCCGCCGGTTCCCACTCCGTTAATAGGCATAAGTTTGAGGTTTTACGACACCGATCTTGATCGACTTTACCACAGTACTGTTGGTCCCCTTGATCGTCAGCGAGAGCAGGCGGTGGTTGGTGGATACCGACTTGTCGTCGACGAGTTATTGCACGAGGTGCACGGTCTGCGTGACCGAGTGGCGCGTCTTGATGGACATCTGGATATTCTCTTGAGGGTTCCTTGACTTGTGTCATCGATGATCCTTTCTTCGCAAGCGCCCGATGATCCACCAGCGACGGATCAAGGGAAGGCTAAAGCAAGCCGTCGTAAAATACTGGGTGAGTTCGAATCTTTCGTGTGAGTTTAAGCGTGTACGCTATGTTCTTCTGGACCACAACCGTAAACGTCCCAATGAAGCGAAGACGCAACTTGGTCCCGCAGACCGCTGACACCACCTTGGTAGGTTGATTCTTAGTGTTAAGAAAGACTAGGTCTCCAACCTCATAACTCACAATACACTTTCTGCCTTTGGCATAAATTAGTTCTTTTGTTTGCCCTGGCTATCAGCCATTGCATCACGCACATGTCGAAAGAGATTCAATCGCGTAGCGAGAAACTCGCTCACCTGTTGCTCAACAGTAGTTAGGCTGACATCAGCAAGTCGATTGGCTATTCCTCCCCCATCAAGCTCATAATGTCGTAGTGGAAGTATTAATGGAACGCGTGGGTGAGTGAGACCACTCACGTAGGATGGAATAAAATCCATTAGATGCATGAACAGCGTTGTTTAGCGCAAACTCGCTCACAGGGAGCATAGAGATCTGATGCCTAGGAGTATCAGCACAAACAATGCGCAAAATGTCACCAATGACACGGTTGACGCGCTCAGTTTGACAATCGGTCTGCAGATGATCTTCTGTGGATATATCCAACCTGGTGTACAGCACCTTGCCAGAAAACGTACATTATGATCAAAGACGATTTCCACAGGCAAACTGTGCTGAAGAAACACACGGTCGATGATTAGCTTTGCTGTACCTTAGCAATCGATAGAATCAGGCTAGTCGCTAAGTGAGCCATCTTGATCAAACGGTCAACATTTCCGACAACACCAGTGTCGCCTTCAGAAATCTTCAGTTGGCCAAAAGCAAAGTCCGCACTGATGGGCTCCCAACACCCAGTTGGTTCAGGCAAACTAGCAAGCGGTACAACCGCAGGTGCTGAGGGTTTTACCCGTTGACACGTTTCACATGTACGCACATATGTGCTCACCCATTTGTACATTTTGGGCCACCATTAGGTCTGGATGACTGAGCTATACGCCTTCTCATGACCGGAATGACCGCTCAAAGAAGTGTCATGTGCCTCAAAGAGGATACGATACTTAAAGTACTCATCATGAGAAACAACTATGCGAGGCACATCCTCAAAACCCCAGCAATAGCAAAACAACCCAACATCGGTGACATTTCGATGTAGGCTAGCACGTAAACGTGTCGATAATTTGATGTATAAGTCTATAAACTCCTCGCTTTCGATAGCATGTTGCAATGCTTCACAGTGCTCTCACGTGCATATGCCGCACAAATAAGCTTTAAAATGGGTGAAGATAGAGTCGTAAATTGAGCAAGCTCATGATTAGGTCTGCGTGACAACGCATCAGCCAAATAAATTTGCTTGCCCGATTCATACCTTACCTCGAAGTCGTATCCAGAAAAAAATTAAAGACAACGGGCCAAATACTGTGAGAGGCGAGGCGACTGTGTCGCAGTGCGTAACGACACGTGATCTGCGAAGATCCTGAAAAGCTTTGTCCAATAATATGATCTCTGAACTTAACGAGAGCATATCGCATTAAAAGTAACTCCTTTTCGTGAACTAAATGGTTCTTCTCTGCAGCCTTTAGCTGAAGAGACTCATACGCAATGATGCGTTTATGTTCATCGACATCTTTCTGCAATAATGCACAGCCTATAGCAAAACCAGACGCGTCACAGACGACACTGTAAGGCCACCCAGGTTAAGGCAAAGCCAAAATAGGGGCATGAAAGAGACTGACCTTTATAGCTTTAATATATTGAGTGTGAGCTGTGTCCCAACACTCAAACTGCATCCTTCTTGAGGAGGTTGATTAATGGCCTTGTCATGTTAGCGTAGTTTGCACTGTACTTGCCAAGATACTTAGCTAGTTTGAGCCATTTAAGCAAGACATTTTGGTCCGGCGGAACCGGCCAGTCAACCATCTACTTTACCTTAGCAGTATCTTCCCAAAGGCCACGCTTCCCAATAAAGAACCCTGGAGAGGGAAGTTCTTCCGCACCAAAAAATGCATTTTGTTGCATTGGCATACATGCACTCGTGCACTGCTCGTAAACGGTCATTGTGATCGTCCACATCTGACTTACCACGTTCTGCACGACTATTTTGGACAAAGATGTCATCGGAATAGCTTTGTGCATATCCTCGCAACCTACTAATATAGCGTATTGAAAAACATCCTTTTCAGAAATAGGTGTCTGTGCCGGTATAGTGGCTGCGTCAATCTTATTGTAAGCATTCACTATGCGCCACTTGCCGCTTTTGGCTTACCGACACAAAACGTCGGTATTGAGTGCGGGGACTTGCTCTCACGCACCATGACAGCCGCATGCTTTGCACGAAAGAACTCGTCAATGACGTCACACTGCTCCTTTGGTAGGGGCCATTGCCGTGTCACACATCAATTGATTCCAGGAACCAGATCAGTTTCATGGAGTACTCTCGATCAGGAAGCATAGTGGAAGGTGGATCGTGACACATCACATTCTGAAACTATTTACCCAAAGGAATAAACAGGCTCTTAGGATCTTTCAAGTTTGACGATCCACTTCGAGCACTCAGTGCCGCCTTCGTGTCTTCCCGACTTTGAGGTCAGGCCAAACTCATCGACAGACATTTCGTCCAGCTCTAACTGGGTATTCAGTGAGGGTGAATTTCAAGACTCACTGATATATCAACGTCACATGTCACTCCATTTACGAGTGTGTATAGATTCTCGCTAGTATTAATCAGTGACGTGACAGACGCCTTGCGTCGCATAACATCAATCCAGCGTCTTTGTCGTCTCTGTGACAAGACTGAATGTCTAAAAGTGACTGGAAGTTTCTCTTTTCCATGGCTTATTGAATCATCATCCTTAATTTGATCTGTACATGAACCGGTGTCATATCCGACACCCGGGACATCAATGTCCCCAAGATTGACATGACTGTCAACCTCAAGCTGATTATTACCAGAGCCGATACCAATATCGACTTCCGGGACTGTACTGCCCACAAGGTGATGGAGTACTTC